AAAAAGTTGGTCTGAAAGCAAAAACTGAGTTCACCCAACTCCAGACAAAAAAATACAATCTCGAATCATTAGACATGATTGAAAATACAGCTCTACAGCCCAGATTGAAAATATAGCTCTATTGCCCAAGGAATTCACTTTGTTCCAAATAAAGAAAATTCCTTTTAAGCATTAAGAAATTAAATGACTCATTTTCTCCAGCCAAAAAGCCTTTATAAGAACTGGAGATGCTATTTTATGGAGTAGAAGCCACAGTGACCTAACAGCCACATGATCTAACATGGAGAACCTTTGATAAATATTGCTTAGCATAGCATTTAGTATGCAGAAAATGCTTGATAAAAATTGGAGAAAATATTTTTTATGTATCTCTGATAGATCTTCCTGATTTCTTTAGAGTTGAAATATCTACAGCTATATTTAATTAATGTGACTTTTCTTAACTTCCAACTCCAATTTCTGATTCACAGCTAGTAAGTCCTAAAGCCAATGTCAATATCAAAGGTGTGATGTCTGCCCTTATGCTAATATATAAAATTCAGAGTTACTATAAAATTTCGTATTGAGACATCTTTATACAGCATGATCATTACATTTGAGGCTGTTTTAAAATTCAGCAGGTAAAGAAAATAGCATAAAATGGTCAACGTTTACATTGTAGTTTTGCTTTCCATGCATATGTGTTTATTAAATCTCTTTTAGTTCTGAAAACCGGATGTTGAATTACAGTGTCGACTTAAATAATATTTGGTTTATTCTTCTCTTGATGTACCATGATTGATGTAAACACTAGGAAAGAGCATCTCTTTGTCCAACTACCATAAAAACAGCTTTCTGCCTCACCTAAAGTTCATAGTATGCTATCAAAATAGGAATATGGACTCATGCCCATTAAAAAGTATTGTCAAGTTTTGAAAAATGTAATCATTACATTATTATATGTAAGTATAAAAGCTCGGAATTGCAATCTTTGTCATTAAGTGGCATATTTTAAATGAAGGGTAATATCCTAGATCTCTTTAGAAAGCTTAATGCTTAAAAACAATTTTATCCGAAGTTGAACAATGAAAAAAAGCATTATAAAATACATTTTGAGTATGCTATGATGAATATGAACATAATACAGAATTAAAATTAGAGCAATTAAGAGGAGATTTTGGAAGATACTTTCTTTAATGATTTAATATAGTCATCATTTCAGTTTGCAGTTTCAATGAAAAAAAAACTATATGCGCTGACTTTTTTGACAGATATTATTAAACACATGTGCATTATCCACAGCCTATTTGGTTACACAAATGTTGAGGAGAATCTAAGAGTAAACACAAATAGTGGTTTTAGTGATATTTCTGTTCTGAAATATACTTTGATGGTGAGTGTTGTAACGTGCTAAATTCTGAGGTTTTAGTACAACAGAAACCATACTGTATTGAGACATTCCACCTACAGTTTGTGGTCATGCAGTCTGATTAAAAGTGGTTTTAGATATATGAAAGTATTTTGGGTCATTGCCTTCTGTATTGAGCATGTCTTGTACCCTGTTTCACTACATAAAATACCAGTATAGTCTTTTATTTCCTCAGAAAGAAATATTAAAACACACTATTTTGTAATTAGTGATTATACTTCTTTATGCATTTCAAAAAGATAGTCTCTAGCCTGTCCTTAGTAGTAACCATAACTCCTGTGAATGAACCAGAATAAAACTTTCTAAACTATATGATAACCAGGTATAAAAATAAATGGTGGCTTTATTTCATCACAAGTACATTAGAAAAACAATAAAATAGAAGGTTAGATATTGCTGATTACTCCAGAGGAAACTTGTCCAAGTCGAAAGAGAAATAACGTATTTCAGTAGATATGGATGAGCTGAAATGGCTAGTTGATACCTAAATAACATTATTTTCTAAAAGATGGCCAACAGGGATAGTTTAACTTCATGTTTCCATCAGGAATAGCGACATCCTCAGACAGCTTTAGTCAGTAAAGACGCATATTTTGTTAGTTCTCCTTTTCCTGTTAAGCCAACTAAGAAACAGATAAGAACTAAGATTTATGAAGCATTTAACCTAACCACTGTACTCCATACTGTACATATATTATTTTATGCAGTCCTCACAGAGTAGATTTTATCTCTATTTTACATATGATAAATCAAACTCTGAGAAGTTGTGTGAAGTTCTCATGTCTATCAAACTGCAGATGCAGCATTCAAATCCAGGGTTCTCTGACTCCAAACCCCGTGTTCTTTCTAGTCTCCCATGCAACCTTCAGTGCACATGTGATAAAAATTCTATAATCATTATTAAGCAAAATATACATTTATCTTCCTAAAAATTCTGTATATGAACTGTTAGAAAATTTTCATGGAACTAGCTACCATACCATTTTATACGTAACATGTTTGAACTTGCTGTCTCTGAAGACTTGACACAGTGGTTTCCTTTATGGAGTTATCTAGACCACAGATCTTTTCCATGTACCCACTTGGGTCTACTCTTCTGGGCACTAAGGACAGAGCAGTGAGCTGAATGAAAATGCCACGTGCCCCCTGTGGAGTCCTCACTGAAGTGGGAGAGAGACATGTTTAATAAATCATTGCACAGAAAATAGGCCAATGACAAAATGTGGTGATGGCTTTTAAGGGGACGTACAAGGATACGTGAAATACTAACAAAAACTGTGGAGAAATGCCAGAGACTAGGCGGTCACAGTTTTGCCTGCTAGTCCAGATTGTAAACACACTAATGTAGGTGTTGGGGAAAGTAGGGTACAACTTGAAGGATGGCTGAGCTGATGCTGAGCTGATGCTGGGATGAGATGTGGAATCCTGAAGGGCCGGGATTGGAGAGTGAAGATAATGAGCTTGCACCTGGAGGTTTCCCTCTTCCGAAGACATTTCAGCAGATGGGGACTGGAGCACATCCATAGGGCATCTGGAGACAAAGAGGAGGTGAGAGAGGGAATCTAGATTTAGAAGTCACAAAGAAATAGTGGAAAATAACTGAGCTGGCCCCTGAAAATGGATGGGATGTGAAAATGAAGGAGAAAAATTTAACTAGTCCCTACTGAAAACAATACGTAAATTAGTCAGAGAATGTGCCTCAGAATCCAAATTGTGAAGAATCATAGGAAGTGCTTCTCAAAATAAAAGAAAATAAGCAAAGAAATGAATGGTTCTGTAAGCAGTAGGATTGAGAAGCAGGTTAAGCAATGTTAAAAGGATTCCCAACCAGCCTGGCACGTGGCACACTCCTGAAATCTCATGGGGAACATGGGGAACTGAGGCTCAAGTTTGAGCCCAGCCTGGGCAACTTGGCAAGACCCTGTCTCAAAATGAAAAGTGAAAAAGGCTGGGGGTGTACCTCAGGGTAAAGGCCCTGGGTTCAATCCCCAGCATTGAAAGGGGGTGGGGAGAGGAAGGAAAGAAGGAAGGGAAGAGAGTCAGGAGGAAGGGGGCAGGGGGGAGGGAGGGAGGGAAAAACAAAGTTTGAAACCTTTAATATATTAGTGTCTCATTTCCCAAACCTGTAGAGCCACTGAACTTTCTCAGAAGGAGCACTTTATAGGAAATGTATTTTACGTCATGGGTGCCCAACTTTTTGGACTGCCTGGGCCACATATACAATAAGTCATACAATTAGTTCATATAAATAACAACACTTTCTTAGTTTTATATTTTAACTTATTACATTACAAAGCAAGCCTGTTTAATAATCAAATAAGAAAACTTACATATCTCTTTAATAATAATAAATGCCTTTCTTCACAAGCACACACTTATAGGTACTTTGAAATATCATTTGCAATTCCACAGCATTCTGTTGTCACCTGAAGAGTCCAGGATGGAACACACACAAGGAAGTCATTAAAAATATCACGGAAAATCCCATAGTGATATTAAAAGCTTGCATTCTTGTGGGGCTGCATTCCTAGCTGTCCAGGGCCACCTGTGCCCTTGGGCTAAGGATTGGACACAGCTGTTGCACACACTGTCCTGCTGGGGAACACTGGACCATCTTCGGGCTGACCATTTAGAATGGTCACACCTTTTAGTGGGCAGCCTGGAGTGACAAGGCAAAATCTAACAGAAGTTTGAAGTGGGAAGGGTGAAATGTATGCATTTGCATTTGGTAGGATTGGAAGGTAGGATGTAGTGGGTAGGAATAATGCAAAGGGCATGGGAGCTGTGCAGACTGAGGTGAGGGGAAAGACTCGCTCCAGGTAGGGAGACCATCTGAGATGCGAAGCTGCTGGGCAAAAGCAAAATGATAAGACGGGGAGATTGAGCTGCCTGGGAAATAGTCAAGTGCAAACTTGAGAAATATTTTCAGAGAAGAAATTATGGGATTTGGTAATTGATTCGATTAAAAGAGAAAAGTCAGAGATAACACAGATGCTGGCTTGAGAGAGGAAGAAAGATACACAGAAGAATGGAACAAAACCTTAACAGTATTGTGGCTAAAGTACTTCCCAGGGACTACTGGATTTCCAGAAAACAGACTGAAACTTTGAGAACACAGTCATAAGTCTTCAAATGACTTCAGTTAAGTGGCCCAAGACTAGGTTTTTTATTTTAAACACTGATCTAAATTTATAAAATTGTGTCCAGTCTTCAAGTGATCAAAAAACAAGCTCCAACCTTATAATTGGAAAAGATGTTAACCAAGCTGAAATGAGTTTTTTTAAATCTCAAATTATTCAGTGAAACAAGCAGTTCTGTGCTCACCTTCATCAAAAGGCCCTACCTTAAATCTTGCATTTACAGTTTCATGTTCTGCAATAAGCTAGAAATCTCACCTTTTCAAATTCTAAGCAGAAAATAGTTCTAGATTTATTTACTTTCTCCCCAAATGTGTTAATGCCCAGAGCTCTGACAACCACACAACCATTGTTTTGCAAAAGTAAAAGAGTCCTGTGAAAACACACAGATGCCTACCTGTCTTTTCCTTAAAAAAAAATTTTAAAAAGAACTCATGTGCTTTGTTTTTTTCCAGGTGACATTTACGAAGAGGAAGTTCGGGCTGATGAAGAAGGCTTACGAGCTGAGCGTGCTGTGTGACTGCGAGATCGCACTCATCATCTTCAACAGCACCAACAAGCTGTTCCAGTACGCCAGCACCGACATGGACAAGGTGCTGCTCAAGTACACGGAGTACAACGAGCCGCACGAGAGCCGGACAAACTCGGACATCGTGGAGGTGAGCTTCTGTGGGGAGCCCCAGGCTTGGCAGAGCCCCCGGTAAACACGTGTGCACCTTCGTTTTCCTAAGATGCTCACCGTCCCCAGGGAAACCTGGAGTGCATCACCTCAGCTGCTCCTCCACTCACCCCTCCCTCCCCAGAATCCAAGTCAAAGTGATAAAATGACAGGGCCGTGTACGATCTAGCCCTTGCGAGAAATCAGGTTCCAGGTCAGATTAATTGTTTTGGTCTTCATGAGTGGGCACTGTGCAGCCCTGTGCAGCATCAGGACACCAGAGGTGGGAACTGTGGCCAGGAACATCTGAGCCCATTTTAGATGGCTGTGTTGTAAACAGTTTCCCAGCGTAGCCTAAGTATATTTAAAAATGAATTCACTCCAGTTTTTCACTTAATGTGTCTTCTTTCTGATTCATTCTTTCACATGCATTCTTGCTGGAAACATAAAGAGGATTATTTTCCCAAAATGTTTTTTTCCTAAAAATTACATCATTGTGTATAGCACGGAAATCTGTTATGGGGAGTCAGAAATGGCTAAAAATGAATTTCTAAATGTTAGCTCAGTATTACATCCAAGTCAGATTTAAAACATTGGTTGGGACAAAAATAAGCATCATGTTAAAACTCGAGAGTGTTTAGATTCATTAGCCTGGGTAACACGCCATACAGTTAGGGTTGATACTTTTTAAACGCTTGGCGTGCGAATTGCAGTTAAGTGCTGTTGCCTTGTAGTCGCCTTCAGGAGCAGTGACCGCTAAGCCGGAACGGAAGAGGTATAAGGAGCATGGTTTCCATCTGCCTGTTTGCCTTACCTATTTGTCCACTTTTGGTTTCCTAACTTGTGCCTGCTTTCCCAGAACTGAAAGAAAATAAATATTCCAGTTCTCTGTCCTCAGAGTCAGTGTACCAGAGCACAAATCATTCTTGCTGTTATTTAGACAGTTTCAGTCTTATAAAAGAACCTAGTGCTAATTCTGGTGAAATTAATATACCTCCCACACCCATCTCCCTTTTATACTTACCTGTTATAATTGTCTAAGACTAATTTTCCTTTCCTTGCTTTTATTTGAAAGTTTTTCAAAAGTGTTGAACAGATTTATTTATTTATTCATTTTTCATTCATTCATTCATTTCCTAACAGGGCCAATCATATTACTCTAGTGAAACAGAAGTAAATAAGTTGACCTACTGTGGTATGTGCTTAAAATACTGGGCGCATTATATTAATTTTTCATTAACTACTGATTTGAATTGCATGCTCGCCTTTACCTTAAAATTTAGGATTGGTCCTCAGTTTTGCCTGAATTTAGAGGGTTTTTTTTTATTCACACATACCTATAAAAGTGAAAATACATAAACATGAAGCGGAACAGAACTAGCTGGCTGTCACCTGTGATAAGTGCTCTTGTGTGTAGGAGTGGGTGTGTACACTCACATATTTAACGTGTTCCCAAATCAAAACAATTTCATACTCAAAACTCCATCTTCTTACTAAAGCAACAAAATTTTCAGGTTAAACAAATTTGAGCTGGAACTTGTCGTTAGACTTGAACTCAACAGGGATATGAAATGCAGGAGAATCATACTGAACCAATTGAAAAATGTGTTGACTTTTAAAATTTGTTTTTCTAAATGAGTTTAAAATCCAGAAAATTCATCTTCTCGGGGTTTTTCTAAGGGATAGCATATGGCATAAATATGACTTAAAATTTCACATACTCTATGAGGGTTTTGTTTTTGTTTTTTGGTACTGGGGATAGAATCCAAGGCTGTCACTCTAAGCTACCTAGCCGGCCCTTTTGATTTTTTTATTTTGAAACACAGTCTAGCTAAGTTGCCCATGCTGGGTTCAAACTGTGATGCTCCTCCCTCAGCCTGCGGGAAGGCTGGGATTAGAAGCGAGGACGACATCACGCCTAGCTTGTATGAGATTTTCATGTTCTTAGGTGGCTATCTGACAGTCGGACTTCTTTAAAGACTTGAGAAAAACTGCTAGATAAAGACCAAGAGATCTTCCGTTTGAATATTTGTCTTGCTGTGCCCTGCTGTATGGCAAATTAGCCACCTCTGCAGGCTGAAGTTTTCTCATCTCAAAGCTGAAGGGGGTTAAAGAGTATAGCTCAGTGGTTGTACTTCTGCTTAGCATGCACAAGGCTCAGGACACATTCCCCAGTAGAAAGAAAGAAGGGGGAAAGGGAGAGAGGGATGAAGGGAAGGTGGAAGAAGGGATGGGGAGGAAGCGAGGGGGAAAAGAAGGGAGGAACTGAACTTGAAAATCCTTTGCAACATTTTACAATTTTTAGAAGCGGTACTTTCAAAAAGAGAGTGAAGCAGTAGGTCTATTTTCTTGCATTTTAAGATCAGTGAATTAAAGCTCTGAATCTCTCAAAGTAACATTCTGAGGCTCTTTGGCCCAATCTAGAGACTGGATTCTTCAGGGGTTTTGGGGGTGAACATAACATGTAAATCTACCACGTTGTGAGTCCATCCTGCTCAGAGACCTGAACCGCACATCTGTCCCATAGTTGACATTTCCACATTTCAGGAGCAGAAGTAGAGATGATGGAGAGAGAAGTAAGGTGGTTCCTCTCAGCTTGGTGAAATTCTACATCACCCTCACATGGGGTGTTTTTCAAAGTGCAGAGCATTGAAATCTCTGAAAGGATGTTTGAAATTCTTGGTGAAGAAGAAAGGATTTGGGTGGAAAACTGCATTTATGACATGTTCTCGAGTCACTCTTAGCTACATTACTTATGAAGTCTCTGCAGCACCAAGACATGATTTTCGGTGGGTTCTGAGCACCTACGATCCAAAAGAGAGGGACTGGAGAGGCAGGTGCTTAGACTGGACCCAACACAAAGTTGAAAGTTGAGATAGTTTTACTACTCCTGGGTAAAATTTCAAATCCTATTTATTTTAATTTAATGGAATACATTTAACTGAGTAAGTTTAATGAGGAACATAATATGTTTCATGAAGGGTCATTAGTTTTATATTTCCCAATTGGACCATTACCTCTCTCCCTTAACCTTCTAAAAACAGTTTACTCACAACTAGAAAAGGTTGGGAAGAGAGAGAAATAATATGATTTCCAGCATTTAGACTGAAATACAAATTTCTGGGCCATATCAGAGTAGTGTTTTAGGGTCAAAGGAAATTGTGCTGTGTGTGGGTGTTGAAAAGATTCTTCCTTTTTAGCCAAAAAAAAAAGCTCTGCGTAATTATCATGCCTTTGCTTGATAATTAGCACTACTGTTACAATGCCTCAGACTCACAAAGCCTTAAAAGACTGACTGAGACAGGTTTTTTTATTATTATTATAATGCAACTTGAATATCTGTTTAGGTACAATATATAAATATGCCAGATTTAGTAAATGTGTTAAAATTTTAATCCATTGGTTAAAAAATAAAAAGTTATTGCATTAAAAGTACTTCCTTTGAAAAAAATCCATTTGACTTAACTCTGTGACACATACACTCATTATCTACCCAAAATGCTCTCTTAGGGGGCTGCTGAAATTCAGCGGAGATTCTAGATTTCAGGTGGTGTGATGGTGATATGAAAGAGCTGCCCCTTTCTAGTTTCCAACTGTCTAGCTCCACTCCTCCTTCTCTGACAACCTAAGAGAGAACAAACCTTTGTGTTTTCAGTGGGGCTATGTTCCCAGCAGAGGGTGGGGTTGTGGAGCACTTTGGGAGGAACCAAAGAATGCAGATCCTACAGGACTCTTTGGCAGCCTGGGGCTTCACCGAGCAGTGATTTAACAAGCAGCAGCTCTTGCTCACGCTGTGTGGTGGATGCTGAAACATCAGAAGACAAGCATTGTTGTTAAGCATATACAGCATACATCAGAAATCAGCTAGGAGCACTTGCAGAGCGGAGGAGCCGGAGCCTGATTAGTGCAGGACAAGGTGCTAGCATGAAGGTGGAGGTTAAACAATCCAGCAGAACTTTCACGCAGCTCATGTGCTCTAGCAGAGCACTGCAGGGGACCTGCTGAAGGACAGAAGCCCTAGAGAGGTTGTCTCCCTACCCACCACATGCTTTCAAAGAAGGTAACCTCGTGGGAATACCTCTGAGGTCCTGAGCAGCCAGGCACCTTTCCCTGCCTCCAGGACTCGGTGATTGTACAGAGTGCTCATTCAGTCCGGGCCAGGAGTCCAGTGATTACGTGTGGAAGGCAAGAAAAACACAACATGAAGATGAGTGTAACTCCTGCAAAAGAACCTGTGCATCCCATCTGTCTCTATAAAGAATGATTGGCTTTTATTTTTAAATTCAAGAATAGGATAGGACCGTGTGTGTGCTTGTGAGAGTGTGTGTGTGTGAGAGAGAGATGATATTTACAATATCTGAATGATATTTAAAATATATTTATATATCATGATATTTTAAATATGATATTTATATATCATGAAATTTACAATAGCTGAAATTTTGTTTTCTGTCATCTGCATCCTGCTTGGATTCAGAGACATCTAAGACAAAATGTTTCCTTGCACAGCAATAGTTAAAACCTAAAGTTGGACTTAAAAGGCCTTAAAATAGCTTGTAACCTTTGTTGCTTCACGATGCTCCCGGAGGTTATCAGCACACTAACTGCCCTCGCACATGGGTTGGTAAAAATTAGTGCGTGCTCTCTTTGTCGAAAAGCAAAGACAGCACATCAAGGAATTTGACTTCTGTACAAATTCGGCATTACAAAATTTGGAAATGCATGTAAATTAGTGAAAATAGATGTTTTACTTAAGCTTTCATTATACCAATTAAATAGATTCCAGTGATATAATTATAAAAATATAGATATATGAAATTATTCCTGTGTGTGCTGTATAAATGTGTATTACACTCAGATGCTTTCTTAGGAGAGGAAAAAAAAGCACATTTGCTTACTTGTTTAGTCATTTGTGGATTTTCATTCTTTCAATCATTCACCAGACAAAGATTTGTTGAATTCCTGCCGTGTGCTGCATGCACAGACTGCCTGGAGATACAA